AGAAGAAGAAGAAGAAGTTTAATATGTGGGTTAAATTGGTAAATGTACATATAATCCTATTCTTTGTCCAAGGAAACAAACACATAAACAAAATAACAAGATAATCTTATCTTGAGTAAATCAAAGATAACAAACCTAAGTGTAGTCCTATCTATACAGTTTAATCTTAGATCTCTAGATAAAATTTGTCTAATCCCATCTTGTTAAACAAATGTGCTCTAAAGAGAGCAGGAAAAATGGACTACTATAAGGGCTCTTCTGGTAAGTATGATTTCTAACCTTTATGGCCTAATCATGTATTCTTCATGATATTGTCTAATGACTTTGTTAGTGTAAATAAATGGGTTTTCTTGAAATCCCCATCCTTCATATCATACTTCATCTTCACATGCTTATCTGTCCACTCATTTGGGAGATCTTTCGTATATGTATGGCAACGTGCCAACCATTCTCCACCAGCTGGCGACATCCTTAGTCACGCATGATATACCCAGGTGAACCTTGACACCATCAGCAACCCTCTTTGCCGTATATGTATGGCAATGCGCCGCACCGTCATCAACATTCAAGATATAACTCGAATACCTGGTTGCATTCGAAGCACATTTCAGCAATAAACACACACACATAAATTTTTTCTTAAAAAAAAAAAGATTTTTGAAAGAAATAAAATATAAATATGTACATAGAATCTAAGAAGATTTAGTGATAGACAGTAAACAAAGTTGGTTATGAAATAAACATCAGATTCAAGATTTAAGCCCCATACTCATACCTTCAGCTCATTCTCAGGTCACACATACAAATCGAAAAACCATACACCACATAACGTATGGGAAAACATAGAACGGAGATCGCTACAAGCCTAGGACTCAAGTTAGGTTTTCTCAGCATAAAACAGAGAGTAGAGCAACAGAAAGATTATCAAAGGAAAACATAAGCATATAGCTAGGATAAAGAAGACAACTACCGTAGTATAGAAGGAGGTCGCAGAACCTTTTTTGCGGCTCTGCCACGGCTGTCGTGATTTTTTATGTTGTTGTTGTGAATAGAAAACCTTTCTAGAAAATGCTGAAAAGTGTTACATGGAATATACAAATGGCCATAGTTTAATAGCCGTTAAATCAGAAGAAAAAAATATGGTGGTAAATTGGAGAAAAAGAATTCAAAGAACATCGCAGTCATTGTTATAGATACTGAAAGCCTAAGTAAGGCATGTGAGATAATTTTACTAAACATCGTGACGAATAAAAATATTTCAAATGAATGCCTTCATACAGTAAATGAGCACTTACTCAGAGAAATGAAGTAACCACTCCCATCAGCTTGGTACCAGATAAACTTTTACTAACTTGACCTGCACTTTCATAGATTTATAAGGGAAATATAAGCAATTTAACACTGCTATTCAAGCATCATTTTGCTTTAAACTGATTATTGTATGAAAACAAGAGCAAAGCTAAAGATAAAATAGCCACTTGGATATGAAGAATATCAAGTCCCATGACAAAGTAGAAAAAGTGGAACTTTTACGTTTTTTATAGGGGATCCAATGTCGTTAGACCTTGTTTTAAAGCGGCTACATAGGTTATATGCTTTTTTTTGTGGAGGAAAACCACAATCACACTCCCTGGAGACAATTATAACAAAGATGGACAAACAAACAACAGAATTTTATTGTAACACATGTAGCTTGAAAGAATAAAATAGCATAAACAAACAATGCTATCATTGATCTCTCTTTTCTCTTTGGAAAGTCAACCCAACAATCAATCATTTATCAATATCCAAAAAGAAAAATAGGAATTGCTAGTTCTCAAATGGCACGGAAACTAAATTATGGTATGTCAAATACCTTCTTGATTACTTAATAAAATATAGTAATAAAATCTTGAGCAAAACCATAGCAATTTTAATATGAAATATAAGTTACTTTGGCATATGAATCACTTACATACCTTATAGACCATCTGATTTGGTTATGCCTTTCAGGACCTATTCTTCAAGCCATACATGTTAATAGATAATTAATCCCCTTTAAAAGATAATGTGCAACAAAGCAATCAATAAAGATGAAGTTCGACGGAATCAAAATCTATGCAATAGTTCGTATGACATTATGAAGAATAAATGATAATATGCATGACAAATAATTGATTATTGAATCCCTTTCGCAATTACTAATATATCAAATAAGCACATACTAAAGGGGATATTATTATAAAATTCAAGACTTGCAGTTCGTTTTTTAGCTAAGTCGGCCGCTCTATAAGTTTCGTAGCAATACCACAATAAAACAACAGGGAGATCATACCTTAGCCACTGCCTTCCACAAAGCTTGTTAATCCTTGAGAACATTTTCATATGATCTATGGAGACCCCCCACAAGCATTTTCCTTCACAATCTTATCCAAAGAACTGAAACAGATATGCCTCCAATAGAAATTCCTCACCATAAACTGATCGAGCTTATTGTCGTCGCCTGGGCGACCAAGGGTGGAGAATTTCTCGCCCATCTGCTGCGACTGGGCAACATGGGCATTGATACTCAGAATCTGATGCACCAGCATAAGATCCTTAGGCACGTCATGTGCGACGACATGGGTCATACTATCCGGCTTGCACCTCTCACTCTGCCACTCCACCGCTCCGCGTGGCCCGCGAAGTGACTTGTGTGTTGTTGTATTTATCAGGTCCGCATAGTCAAACGGGGACGGGATGCCACGTGTAGTTTATCAACTCGCTCAACAGACTGGGAAATCGCTAAAACATATAAACCATAGATTTTAAGTGCTCTCGCATTTAAATTTCAAGATCTAAATAAAGTCTTGGGATTAAAAGGTAAAGTTCTTTATTTTAAGGAATATATAAATACATGTAGCCATACCCTAGCAAATCCAGGCTCCATGCTTTCAGAAAGAACAACAACTGGTGACTCGCTTCCAGAAATGCACACCAACGTTTTTCATATAATCAGTGCGAATGAAATGATCATACCTTAATACAGGGACAAAAACAAAAAAAGATAAAAGGAAAAGAAATCAACACTTTTGATAAGTGGGCTTACAAATCACATCTCCAAAATACCAACATATACATATATACACATTGCTGGTACCCTTCCTAAGTCCCACAAGGGCCACAACCACAATTGGTGCTAGGTAAAAATAAAAACTGCAAAAGTTCAGGCATACCTCTCTCTGTCTCCTTCTCCGCAAAAAAATAATTCCAAATCCCTATCATAACCCCTATCAGGCTTCTTTCCCACCTCTCTCTCCCCCTCTCCCTCCTCTCTCTATCATCCAGCTCCCGCCTCACCTCGACCTCTGCTTGCTTCCGCTTTCGCTCTCTCTCTTGTACTCCGTCCACTTGCAATTCGATGAGAGTCTACAACCATGATCCCCATTAGATCCATACCAGATCGATAAAAAATGAAGAAAAAAATACAGAGAAATTGGTCCAATTAAACGTAAAATAGATAAAACCAAATTATGGTCAACGAGCCTACCAGCCACCGCCTGCCTCGACTGGCGAGTTGCGGTCAACTGCTAATCTGGACGGCGAGCGTAGCTCCACAACGCTGATCGCCGGTATGGAGATTCGACCAGCCATCCATCCATCAACCGCCGTGTATCGAAAAAATAAGGTGGAAAATTTGGGTTAAATCTATTGGGGGAGAAAAAAGAAGAAAGAAGGAAACAAATAATGAAGAGTAATTGAGGGGAGAGGATAAAGGAAAAGGTGAAAGGAGTACGTGATTTCCTTTTTTTGGGGAAAGATGGGACCGTTGAGTGTTTGACTCAAAAAGTGAACCAAAAAAAAAAAAAAAAAATTGTTCTCCCCAAAAGAAAAGCAGAAAAAACGGTGCCGTTTCTGGCACCATAAATTAGCAAAAAATAGTTGTGAATGGCAATGGCAATTGACGTAAAAAATAGGAAAAAACAATGACATTTATGTGCGAAAATATTTGACACATGTCATGCTCCTAACCCCTTACATTTTTGCTTATATGTAAGGGGGAGATATATTAAACAAGCGACTCGCGACTCGAGAAATGGTCGGTGAAGGTATGCCATGGATTTCGAGAGTCCAACTTTGTTGCGGATTGCATGGCGAGGGTGGCTACAAGGAGCCCGGGTGGATTCCAATCCTTCGAAGTGGCGCCGGATGAAGTTCGAGAATGGTTACACCATGATATTGTTGGGGTCTCGTACCCTCGACACGTACCGATTTCCGGTACTTAGGCATTAGCCTCTCTCTTTGTACCCAAAAAAAACAAGCGACTCGCGACTCATCGCTTCTGAGCTCAGTTTGATTTGGGTTAGTGACGTCTCACTTGATAAATGATTTGAACTTGTTCGGTTGATGAGTCAAACTCGGCTCGACGCTTGTTAGGCTTTTTATATATGTTTTTTTT